TTACAATAATCAATGGGCTTTTACAAGGCACCATTAAAAAAAATGCAAGTTACTATCACTTTATCTCAAAGATGACGGATCTTTGAATATTATATCCATCTTTATGTTAGTAAGGACATGGATATAACTGTATTAACTTTATTCTTTAACAGTTAATCCATCAAAGCAATATGTTTCTTTCAACTTCTGGAAGTCTCAACCTCAAAAAATAAAGAATTATGCAGTATTTCTGCTTGACAGAGCCCTTAGAAGAAAAGCTGAGCAATGTTTCTGGGGTCAGCATTAGAACTATAGCATACCATTAATGTACTAGACTCCCAAATGATTAATGAAAGGAAAACCAGTGGTAAATAAAAGATTAAAAGAACCAAACATAATGAAGTGTCAGTAGAATTAAAAGTGTAGGAAGTTTGCAAGAGACAGACAGTATTACATTAAAATCAGGAGCATGAATTATATTTTGTTTATGAAGGCACCATTTTCAAAGGAAGATTTCATCATAGTATATTAAAGTAAAATGCGTTCTTTTCATGGGCAACAGGGATGGCATGGTAAATCATAACACTACAGATATGATGGGAAGGAATATGAAATGGGATCCTGTTTCACAGATATTTAAATGAGATTTAATCTGTCTTTGAAAAATTGCTCACATTATTATAGCTGTCTAGACACAAAATATTTAAAATTTTCTTGCAACTTCTAGTTTTTAAGCAAAAATGGTAATCTTTCTCATTTTTTAGGGTCATGTACTTTACAGAAGCTGACACCAAAAGGCTGTATAGGTCTTTTCTAACTTGGCAAAATACTTAGCTAAAAGAACTGTTACTGATTATGGAATGTATAGTCAGCAACTGACAAAAACAAATTAGGAAGTCATAATATATTTTATAATCATGAGCAATTAAGAGTTGTGAGACAAGTTATGTGAAGAAAATGAGAAACTTTATGGAAATAATGGATTTAAATTATGACACACTAATAATGAGATCATTCAATTTGGAATGTTAAATAATTCAGTCTGTTAAATTCTAAATGCAATTTCTCAACACTAACTATCGCTGAATTATTCTTACTGCATTATTTTTGCGACCTCTTTATTGTAAGCTGTTAATTTGACATTAAAAGGTGAAGTGATTATAACAACATGTAACAGGGCATACAATAAGGTAAATGATGGTGATAAATCAAAAATATAAAAAGAATCTTAGTCTTAGAAAAGGAGTCTTCTGTTCCTGGGTGTCTGTCAGAGTCTATACTCACACATATTAGCTATGCTGTAAGACTTCAGGTAGAAGAAAACAGTGTGACCACAACTCCAGTTCCTCTTCACAAGCCTTGTTATGAAATGCAATGCCACCAAACAATACAGTCCTATGTAGTTCCTCTCGTTGCCTAATGGCTAATACTGTCCATGGCTAAGTAAAGGACTGAACCTTCCAAACTTATTTACATGTGAATAATGTCATAACTACGGAATACCTTCTTCATTATGTGAAAAATACGTCTGTCTCAGTAAGATCTGTTTGCTTTTTATAATTTGTACCCAAACTCAAAACTTAAGGGAAAAATAATCAAGACACTTATTTCCCAAGAGGCAATCTTGGGTTGCTCTGAATCAAAACTGATTGGAAGGGGGCAAGGAGGAGGAAATTTCAGTTGGGCTAAGTTAGCCATCAGGAACATCCACAGTCTTCTTGCCATTAGTGCTAAGGTGGGACATACACAGAAACCAAGGTCCCCAAACTGATCACATGTTAGAGCTTAATACTAATCCATCCCACCCTATGACTCTTACGGTGTTGGATTCTTATGGCAGACTGCCTAGCACTAGGAGGCAAGTTAGCAGTTTCGCATAAAACTGTCTGGGCGTCTTGAATGCCTTCCATCTTATGCATACAGTCCTTCCTCCTCTATCTACTGTGGGGTCTCATCAATTAGCTTAACTTACAGATTACACTAATAGGGAGGTAACTTTCCTAAAATGTTTAAATTGCTTGGTTATTGCTGACCTTCATATTGAGGAAGGTGGAGGACTATAGTTTCTTTTGTAGAAGAAAGTGAATACCACAAAGGCCAAAGTAGATGAGTAATAGAAGAAAACATCCAACCCCCTTTTGGGGTTCTTGGTTGTTTTGTTTTGTTGTTCTTTGTTTTGTTTTGTTTTGTAACTGTTCTTTGATTTTTAAAGGCAAAGGAGTTAGGAACTACAACCTGTGGAACGCTTGAGCATTTTCTCAGTAATTGGAGTGGCTCCCCTTCCTGGCTCATAGCATGCTAATATGCTGAATCTTTGGAATTACTGAATTTATTGAGGTTGAGAGATTCAATCGCTTGCATTCTTGACAGACAATTCATCTGATCAGGAGAATAGCAAAATAACTAGAATACGTTCTTGAGAAGATGCTAGGAAGAGGTGAGGATTGTATCTATCGTTCTTAGGACTTTTCAAGGCCAAGCTTTTCTAGAAAGAAAAAGTTTGGGTAAGCCAACATGAGATGGAAAAAGATGGTACAAGTGGTTGATTCTGGTTGGGAGTGGGAGATAGGAATAGAAATTGGTTGTCAGACAACACCAGAATAAGGGATGGGCTTTATAGCTAGACTGCATGCTACATTACTTATCCCAAATGTTTGGGCTACTTTTCCTTCTATTCAGTGCTATCTTTGCAGAATAATTATGAGTAATCTAAGTTTAAAAAAAAAAAGAAAATCAAAATAAGCTGAAGTGAGTTTATGAACTTCTGCATTGCTGAAATTGCACTGTGAAATGTCTGCTGTTTATTTCAGTGACATAACAGTTTTTTCCATTTATTGCCAGCTTCTTCCATGAATTTGACAGTTTAATATTTTGTGACAGTTAAAGCTTTACTTCATGTAAATGTACTTTGATTTCAAGCACATTCCGAACAAATCTATTACAGGTCTGTCTCACACTGATAATGAAAGAAGCTAGAAAGAGATACATAACGAAGAGCATTTTTGACAGTTTTCTGCCAAGTCACACTATGTGGCTTCAGCTGAGAAATGAGAAATAATTTTGTTGAACACATCCCTATAGAGTCTAAAGAGAGTTCTATGAATTTCAGTCCTGACATTTAAATCCTGTATACAACTAATATCCGAGTCATGAGAAGCTCACACCGTTCTGTCATGCATCACTTGTTAATGACCTTCCTTGCCCTTATGTCGTGGTTTAACTGAAACCAGGACACCTTATAAAAAAAATTTCTGACAAAGGAAATGAGTATCCATAGTTGCTTTACCATAAAAAGGTATTATTTAATATGAATAGCCCCATTCCAAACCCTGAAGTTCAATGAAATAGCTAGTATGAGTTTAATAAGTTCATTATAAAAGGATAGTATTTCAAGATAGACAATTTACAAATTGTTATACAGCTGTCTTTTGTACTATTATATTCAGAAGGCTGCAACAAGAGAAGGCATGCAGCACCAGATGTGCAAATTAGGCAACAGTTAATGGAAAAAGCTGAAAGAGATGAAAGGGGCAAAGGACTTCATTGCTCACCCAGGCTCTTCACAGTGGTACCTGACGGGAGGAAGAGAGCTTAAGATGGAACAAAAGAGGATCAGCCTGGATATAACAAAAACATTTTTTAAGAAAAACATTTTTCAACCTGAGGAAAGTGGAACAGGTTGCCCAGAGAGGCTGAACAGTCTCCATGCTTGGAGGTTTTCAAGGTGTTACTGAATAAAGCCCTGAGCAACCTTGTCCGATCTCATCACTGACCCTGTTTTCAGCAGGAAGTTAACTAGAGACGTCCCACAGCCCCTTGCCACCTGAATTATTCTAGCATCCTACGATCATACAGTACTGGGTACCCATAGCATCCTACGATCATACAGTACTGGGTATGTTTTTACTGCTGGTAAAAAGAGAAAGCTTTCATAAAGTAACAGTAAAAAGGAAAAATTATTGCCAGATGGGAAACAAGGTAATAGAGCCCTTACTTCAGTAGCTCTTTCTCCACTTATTCCCTATTGCAACCATATAAGGGGACAGGTATGTTCAAAGTTAGGAACGGGAAAGATGGCAGTCTACAAAGTCTGCGTACTAGCTCTTGAATAGCTGATGGGGCTAGAGTGGGGAGTCTGCCAAGCTAATTTAGACAATTACGGCCAAGAAAGACTATTTATGTCAAGGGTAATCTAGAATGCTTTTTTCCTTATGCTGTGTTTTGCTTTTGTGACTCTTTGTTTTAACAAAATTTTATTTCTATTCTTATCTTGACAGAATTCAATAAGCATACTCTTTTATATTTAAATCTTGTCACACTATAAATCTGAGTCACCTCACATACAGAGGATACAGCCTTCCTTGGAAAGGTGGATGTAATTGAGGTGCAGTGAAAAGAAATGTTCATGCTGCCTATATTCAGGGCTCCTCCTGAGTCTTCAGGTTGCTTCCATACTAGGCTGCAGGTCTCTCTTTGTAATGTAACACTGGTTGACCCAACTCCCTTGGTATGTCTGGAGATAACCTGGAACTTCTTTGATGATCAGCAGGAAAGTGGAAAATGGCTTCAGACTTGAGCGGGGCGGGATGGAAAGGAAAGTTGTCCCTTTTAACTTGTCACACTAACATAAAACATAGTTAAGATTGTCTTCCCAACATTTTTTTTATTCTCTTCATTAGCCTACAAATATGAAAGGCTGAGTTGCATTCCTAAGACTAAATCTTTTTTTGTGTATGTATTCAAAACAGAAATAAAACTATTAACTCTTCTGAAGTTCACAGCTAGATGGTGATGATAGTGACGCTGGAGGGGATGGGGAAGCAACTATTAGTTTCACTTTAGCTAAAAGTGAAATAGGTAAAAAAATTTATATAAAATGTCAGTATCGAGGATATTAGTAAAGATCTATGAAGATATGTATAAATATTAAAATAATTTCTGATTTCAGGAAAAAAGTGGAGTTGAATGTACAATCACAGAAAATAACATTTTTATCTTATACAACTTTGTTTCTCTTTTAGTGGCAAAGCATTACTATAACACTGGTTGAGAAAGTGCAGATGGTTGCTGTAATCCTAGGATCTCTGTTCTTAGTAGCAAGTGTGACTTGGCTTCTATGGTCAGCCTTCAGCCCTTATGCAGTATGGCAAAGAAAGGACATCCTTTTTCAAATCTGCTATGGAATGTATGGTTTTATGGATCTAGTATGCATAGGTAAGCTCAAAATCTTTAAACAGCACAGACTGTGGTTTAAGACTGTGACTATATCTATTTTTCTAATTGGTCACTCTAATTGATTATTGTGGTTTAACCCAGCAGGCAGCTAAACACCACACAGCCGTTTGCTCACTCCTCCCCACTCCCAGTGGGGTGGGGGAGAGAATCGGAAAAAAAATAAAATTCATGGGTTGAGATAAAGACAGTTTAATAGGACAGAAAAGGAAGGGAAAAGAATAATAATAATGATAAAAAAATATACAAAACAAGTGATGCACAATGCAATTGCTCGCCACACGCCAACCAATGCCCAGCCAGTTCCCGAGCAGCGGTCACCACCCCCCGGCCAACTCCCCCCAGTTTATGTACTGAGCATGACATCACATGGTATGGAATGTCCCTTTGGCCAGTTGGGGTCAGCTGTCCTGGCTGTGCCCCTTCCCCGCTTCTTGTGCACCTCCAGCCTTCTCAGTCGGTAGAGCATGGGGAGCTGAAAAGTCCTTGACTAGTGTAAGCACTGCTTAGCAACAACTAAAACATCGGTGTGTTACCAACATTGTTCTCATCCTAAATCCAAAACCCAGCACTGTACCGGCTACTAGGAAGGAAATTAACTCTATCCCAGCCGAAACCAGGACACTGATCACTCTGGTTCTTTGCAGATTTATTCTCAGCTGGTACCTTTGGCAAATACTTCTTTTTACAGTGTTACAAATACTGCAAAGAGAAAAGAACCAAAGAAACTTTACTCTCAGATTCATCAAAGCATGGCCTCAAGATCTTAGTGGTGAGAACAGGATCAGTTTCAATTTCTTGAAAAAACAGACCACTAGCAAAGTTCAGGAAGTTAAACAGATGAAAATAACAAAGACATTATTAAAATAATTAGTAAAATTACGTGCTGTCGAGTCTTCTACTGATGCCACTTTGCATTAGATTGTACCATCATGAAGCGCAGAAGAAGCCCTTGAGGTTGTCATCAAACTACATATCCAAAATTAAGTTGCACAGACTTATATAGGTCACTGTGCTAGTAATAGAAAAGAACAGAGAAGACACACGAGTTTTTTGTACATCATAAACAGTTACAAAGCACTCTAATAGTGCTAACTTACTATACTATTAAAAAGTCTCAAGTCATTTAACTCTAGCTGAAATCTTATAAAAGAAAGTGCAATTTACTGCAAAGAAATTTTAATCAGTTTTGAAATTTCTGAAAATATACTGGACCCAGAAATATTAAATAGAAATCCCTTTGGTATTTGATAAAACAACCTTGAATTGATTGTTAGAATAGCTGTGATTATTTGCACAGAAAATTTAATAATTGCAGCAAACATTAAACCACATTCTTAGAATTACAATTCCAAGAAAATCCAGACGTCAAATGCTATCTGATGTTTGCTTTGAGATTTCTGAGTGATAAATGTTGGTGTTATCCCAATCTCATATATGGGAATTCAGAAGAACTGTGCTGAGTTCTGCTCAATAAGGTGCAAAGAAACAGGTGTTTGCTCCAACCATAAAGCCATATCATCTTTTATTGAAACCATCCCATTACTGTAAGAGTATTTATATTTCAGCTGGATCAGCAGTTCTGTTTATTTTGTAATTTTTCTAAGAGAAGCCCACTCTGGCATATTTTAGAACACAGGCTTTCTTCTGTGAACCCAAATCTTCACAGACACAAAAATGAACAGAATCTAGATCTCGAATACTCTGGACGAGTGCTCAGCTTTTAAAGGAAAAACAGGGCTCAGCTACATGTCCTCTTACATGCTGATTCCCGAATACCACTTTTTCCGGCTTAACACTTAATATTGAGATTTTTGCTTTTGTTTAAAAAAAACACTAAGTGAAGACAAAATGTGCTTCAGGCATTCTAAACTTTTCATTTATATGGAATTCTGTTTTTTCACAAAGATTACAATTGTAAAAAATTTATTTTGGTATGCATCAACTAGTTGGAATGACCAGTTATTTCATACTATTTCCATTTCTTTCCATTTGTTTGAAGATAAAACACCTAAGCCAAATTAATCTCAAAATCAATTGAGAACATCTGTGGGTGATCAGAAATATTAGTGTATTTATCTGTAGAAGTAAACTATTGTAAGGCGAGCCTTCAATAGATTGGTACATGCAGTTATGTAGCTGCCTTTCAAGCCAGCCAGGCTCAGGCCACCTCTGGACTGGAAGCTACTGAACTACGATGTACCTCACATGGCTATGGAGCTTCTAGCCTAGCTGGCACCATGCAGGAGCAAAGTAGACGTGCAGCTTTCTTCACCCACCAGACAAACTGACTTGCCTGTCATTACCTAAATGCATATTTTATGGTCCAATCATAAATAATACATGGAAATTTTTATGTAAAACTGACTATAATTAAACATATTTGAACACTGTTTTGTAATTACGAAGTTTGGTGCAGATATGACTTACAGTTTACTAAACTATATCTGGAAATTCAGAAAGCTGTATAAAGGAAGTTTGGTAACTGTAGAATTCTGATGATCCAGATTCATTCGGCCCATTTATTCTGCATATAATTTCAAGTAATCTGCATTCTGTAAGCTTGTAAGACCAGGAGTTCTTGTAACTCTTAAAAATATTTATTAATATATTCAACTTTATTCAATTTTATCTTTTTCTTTCATCATAAAGGGAGGGATTTTAGACTGATAGGTTTAATTTAAAACATTCAAATAAAGTTCTCTAATAGATGGATGTAGTTATTACTCATGAATGATTTAAAAAAACCCCAACACTGTCCTTTATGCTGATGACTTCCCAAAGGCATTAACATATGATTTTACCATTGCATATTATATGTACTCTCTTATATCACAAAGCTTGTAATGCTTACAGCCAGCCACAGTTCTCACTTAGTATTTCCTCTCCGCTCATTTGTGTTTAGTCATCCATGGCATTCTCTTAGTTTTCAACAGGATTTACAGTGAGTGAATACCTATACTCCCACTGGAATCTCTCTTAATTTCAGTGAAGAATCTATGCAGACGTGGGTTTTCCTGTGCAGCACATATTTCAAGACAAGTGCTTGAGTTACTGGTGGTATGACCAAGACTTATTCCAACTGCCTTCAGTTATGCCTCCCTATAGCTTTGCATAAACAATATGAATATTTTTGGTCATTTGTGAAGTGTAAATATCTGTGCTCTTTGAAATGTTTTGTTGTCATCATTTCTAAAGCAGTTTTACCAAAGGTAATGACATAATGACATATTTATATGACATCTTTGAAAACTTGCACATATTAATTGGTTTTCCCAATGAGTGATTTATATACCATAGGTAGCACACCACCCACTTTCTTATCAAGTAAATGACATGTAACTTGTATTTTAATTCTTGGTCTTGATTATCTTTTCACCAAAAGAAATATCCCAAAGATTACAGATCACCAATATAATATGTTCTATTCATTCCAGTGCACATATTTTATTGGTATCCATTGCTTTTCTTGTTCCACTCTAAATTTTTCTAGAATTCTAATTTCTTCCTAACAGGATCATCTTTTTTACTTATCAGTGTTAATTTCAATCCTACAAGTCGCTAGTTTGTACATTTCTGCATCTAAGCTGGGCGTAAAGCTGTTCTCTCTGAAACTTGCTGATGGTAGAAGTTTTCCTAAGGCAAACCTTGAGCATTTTAATCATAGGCAGTAGTGATGATTGAAACTATGAAACCCAGAGCTACTGCAGTGATAGTGCTAAGATCAGACCATCTACTTAGGGATTACCAAAGGGAATGAGTTCATGAGTTAATATGAAAGGAAAGAATTAATAAAACCCTTATTTAGCCACTGAAGGACAGTACAGCAAGTCTTTGCCATTCTGCTTTGTAGACCGAGCAATTATTTCTCATAACAGTGAGGTCATATAATTTTATATATTTTCACTGGAATATAATCATAACTACTAGTCCTAACTGGTTCTAACATGAACAAAACCTCTCACAAATAATAACAGCTCACTTACAATCCCAGAACAACAGTGCAGCTCCTTTAGAGCGTGAAAAGCAACTGTAACATTGCACCGGGAACATGAGTGGTGCCAGTACTATGGCAAGGGAGTAAGAGATGGGAGCCAATGTTTTCACTGGAATATAATCATAACTACTAGTCCTAACTGGTTCTAACATGAACAAAACCTCTCACAAATAATAACAGCTCACTTACAATCCCAGAACAACAGTGCAGCTCCTTTAGAGCGTGAAAAGCAACTGTAACATTGCACCGGGAACATGAGTGGTGCCAGTACTATGGCAAGGGAGTAAGAGATGGGAGCTAATGGGAGGTGTGAATAGCCCTCTGAAAGCCTCTTCTTCCCCACCAAGGAACTTGAAGCCTAGCAACATTCATGTAACTCCCTTAGTTGTAAAAATGTACAGGCTGAAGTTATTTATAATGAATGCATCTAGCTGCACTTAATATTTCTCTACTCAGAAAGTCAGTCTTTCACTAATTCTAAATAGTTTAGAGAGACTTTTATTACTATGTTTAGAGTGGACATGTTTCACTTTAATGCTTTAAGCACTTTATTGCATTTTTTTGTATCTGTGGACCCCAGAATAGGATTAAGAGATGAGATTTTGTCCAGTGGTAAAGTCTGTTTCTGAAAAGGGTCTTTCATTCCCAGGTAAAAGTTTGTGATGTTTCTGGGAGGACCATTCCTAAATGATTACAAGTGAGATTAGTGTGATAAATAAGACAACATTGGAACCTAATACCACATCTGAACTAAGAGGAGTTGCCTTCTTGTAAAGACATTCAGTATGAAAAATTTCAAGTGTTCTTGTGACTCAGGGTAAGAAATCCTCTGGATAGAGTGAAAGAATCTCATAGTACTCGGCAATAAAAGAAAAGAAAATTATGATCTCCCCATAATCCTATTTTCTGGATTCCACTACAATCGCTACATCTTACAAATGAATCCTGAAGGTAAAGTCTTCTTAGAGCCTTTAGGACATTTTGCCAGGTCCATCATCCCAAAACTCTGTTCCTTGTAGATATTAATTGGACAGAATGTCAGAACAGCTAACAGTAGTGAATTCTGACACTTCCTCTTGGGATCATCTGGGTCAAACAAGTAATTTTTTTTTTCCCTAGGACTGTGCAACTATGTCCTCTGTGCTGTTGAAACCACAGTATTTGGAACAAGTCAATATTATTCATGGATTTATCCTTGTTTTCTCTCTCATATACTCATTCATTGCTGTGGAAGTCTTAATAAAAAGAAGATTCTTTGCCATTTTCTTACAGCTTCACTTTAGTGACTAACTACTTATATTTTGAGCATCAGAACTTTTTTTGAACTGGAAGATCTCCAGCATTTAAACCTTACCTGGGTTTTCCCTTGTTTGTGGTCTTGGAACTGTTGGTGCTGAGAACTTTTTCCCCCCAGCCCCTGGAAAATATCTTTCAAAGAGACAAAAGATCTCTTGGAATTCTTTTTCCTCTTCTACATATTTTTTTTTTTAATCTGTAGTTTTATCAGATGGGAATTAAAGCTTTTTATGGGAGGAATTATGAAAGTACTCCTTTGCCCCTTCAGCATTGCCAAATGTGACTTTATTTCAAGGCTTGCAATATTTGATCCTTTGTTCCTTAGCTCTTTTAGAGCGTATGTGAATAACAGCTTTCATTTTTAAAGAAAACTTCTCTTCCTTGCCATTGTTGAGAAAACTTTGAAAACATAATTTCAGTAAATCCTGAAAGCTCAAAAACAGTAAAAAAGACCTCCTTAAAAGCAGAAGTCCTATGACTTTTTCTGTCATAATTTTGGGAGGATACTTTTGAATGTTTAAATGTACTACATGTACCTCAATGATCCTTTCTCAACTGCTTCCTTCTCTATTCTGAAATATGTTGCTCAGGTTCCAGTGGAGAGCAGGCAGGTATCAAAAATGTTTACATTGGATTAAATAGGTTCTCTCAATTTTTTTTCTTCACAGTCTTGAAGGAAATTGGGCCAAAGAATACTATGATCCAGTGACAGGTAGAAGGAAAATTAGGCTCATCTCCCTTATCATTCTAGATGAAATCCAACAGAAAAAAAAAAGGGGGGGGGGGATCTTAGTCACAGCAATAAAACCATGGCTTATTTGGTTTGTAAATTTTGTAGGTCATCAAACACATTTATCCTTTTTAAGTCAATATAACCAGTCTTGAAGGTGCATTTATGTATTAACATGGCTGCTAAATTTTTAGGAAAGGTTGCTTTATATATATCTGAGAAGATGAAGTTAGACATCTTGCAATCAAGAAAATTTTCCACTAAAATGCTATGCTGATACAAAATACATTTAGAATACTTAACATCTAATTAAGTTTATAATGTGTTAGTTTTGCTGTATCGGATGCTTCAATGAATTCTAGGCAACTTGAAAGTCATACAGAGATGCTACATTTGCTATCATGTCCTTCTGAAAGCAATCTTTGTGTTTCTCCATCTTTCAGTGTAATCATCTTTAAAAATGTGTTAGAGTAGGCATTGCTATCTGCAAATCATTGCACTTGAATCTGAGGTTTGCTGTTCATATAAATGTTTTTATCATTCTTTCTGCTTGTGTCATCTTTCTTTGAATGTCTCCCTTCTGGTATCAGTTAACCCCGCTAAGAGACCTCAGACACCTAAATTTCGTTGTGTAGGAACAGGTGATATACAATCTCTTGGGGTAAAGGACTATAGCCTGTGACACCGCAGATCATATTATAGATGTGGCCATGTATAGGAAAAATTTAGGCAAGAAACACACTGGACAAAAAATTTATAAATGTGTTTGGCTAGGCAGATTGCTCTCCTCCCAAAGCAGGGAGTCAGAGGAAACATGTGACATTGTTCAGAACCACGTAGGTTACCAGGCTGGTGGAGGAACAGAGGAAAAACCTGATAAGAAGGCTGAAGCCCCATGTGTCTCCCCAGTAAATCCATATTTGAAATACTTACACATAAAGACTGTGTGTATAAATACATCTACATATATATACACATACAAAAAATGAAGAGTTTCATTCAAGTAAATAAATTGCTTGCATGCATACAATAAGCATAAATATTAGCTACGTGGAAGCTCATAAGCAGATTGGTCTGTTGAGGACTCCAGATACTCTGTATTTTCCTTGAAGGACCTTTTAAAAGATTTCCTCGGTCTCAGCAAAAAAGATGTTTCTCAACTTTTGTCTACTGAATTTTGAAGAGAAAGAAGAAAACCTATCGTCCTTGCCATGCTCATCATAGTTAATAACAACATTTAATTTCTTCTTGCTCTACTGAAGCAAGACAGGAAAGCCATTATACTTACAGCTTTTTCAGGTTTTCATAAATTTTCCGTGCTCCCAAGTTGAACTAAGAATGTGAAAACGGTTAAATTTGTTTGTATCTGTACTGAATTCTACAAAACACTCTTAAACAAGTTTAAGACCATCCTGTTCATTACAGAAGGTCTAACTTACTTAAAGATCTTCTTAAACCAGTACAAATCTCAGCAAATAGTACTTACCACAAACAAGGATAACACTAGCATAAACAGTCAATTTACAAATCTACCAGTAAGGTTCTTTTATATTGGTTTACTTAAACCTAAATACTTTATTTAGTTAGGCATGCTCAGATTATTCCAGTATTGGTTATACTGAGCTTTCATTCAGAACAATTTTATTTCCTCTACATGTTCCCGCCTCCCAAACTTAAACACGTGAATAACCAGATGTATTGCATATGTACAATTATTTAATTATCAGAGTTACAAGTAATTTGATAGGCTCTGGCAATTGCCAGATTCATTACAACGTGTTACATCTGTATTTGCTCTCAAAATGGTATCCAGTGACATTTTGTACAAACTTAATTTTTTTTCCTTAATTTCAGGACTGATAGTACATGAAGGTGCGTCTGTTTATCGAGTGTTTAAGCGCTGGAGGGCTGTGAATCTGCACTGGGATGTGTTAAACTACGATAAAGCCACAGACATAGAAGAGAGCAATCAAGGAGAACCCTCAGCAGGAAGGACATTGTGGTTACCGCTGACTGCATTTAGAAACAGAAGCCTAACATTGTGGTTACCGCTGACTGCATTTAGAATCAGAAGCCTAGTTCATCCAACACAGTTAACCTCACCAAGATTTCAGTGTGGCTATGTATTGTTACATCTGTTCAACCGCATGAGACCTCAGGAAGATTCATCAGAAGATAACGGCTCTGGGGAAGTAGTGATGAGAGTGACCTCAGTGTAAAGATTATGCTCACTGTGCTACACGGATAAGGATAATGTGCCCTGATGTTACAGGACTTTGGAATGTAGTTACAATGAATGGTGAAACCATTAACACTTGAAAAAATATATATACTTTTTTTTTAAATTTAATGCTTTTTATACGATCAGCTAAAACACAAATACATTTTTCTGGAAAAAAAAAAGGCTCTTGCTTTTATATAGTCTGCTTTATTAGATCTTTTGTCAATTTGTACCTGAGGTGTATACAATTTAGTTTGACTCTTAGGTCTTTGAATGATGAGGAAACTAATTTTTAAGTAAAAAAAATATTTACATGTATTTTCTTAAACTCTGGCTTTAATCCACTACTGTTATTTTTCCCACTTTCATGAGCTTTAAACTGAAGAACCTTCTTCCAAAGAGAAAAAGAATGTTGACACAAGTCAAGTATTCTTCCTTTTCTGTCTTTATTTTGTTGTTGTTTGTAGCTCAGTTCAGGTGTATGAAAGTAAGTAAAGGATATATTGTCCCTTGCCTTTAAGCCAAAGTCCAATGGGTGTTCTACAAAACATAAGGGAAAATGCCAACTCTTCTTTTAGCTCTCCCACATGGACGTGCAAGATGTCAGACACAAGTATGACACAGGCGGGGGAATTCTTGCACTTCCTCTCGAGTCTCTAAGATCTGCAGAGTGCTGGTGCTGTGCCTGTGCACAGAAATGACATTACCTTCCGAGCAGCAGTGCTGAATTTAGCGGCCTGAGAACTTCTAGTACCATTCTAACTATAGGACATTGACATCCCATATTTTTTTAAAAAAAGAAGAAATGCATATTACAGCTTCTGGGGTAATAATAAATCCTAATGGAAACTGAAATAGAAATAATGCAGAGCCTTAATTTTGCCAAGTAATGAATCATCATGTTAAAAATGAGCCAATGTTCATCTTTATCATGATACCTAATCAATGCTGTGAAGTTTGCTTCTCTGTTTTTGTCTCATGGCAAAAATTCTAATATCATTTAATCAAATGAAAATGGAAATAATTTCCAAATTAATAATTAAGTCTGTTGAAGAGCAAGATGAAAAAGTAGGGCTGAAATGACTCTGAGAGCTCTAGCTTACTTAAAACAGTTTGTGGTGGGTTGACCTTGGCTGGCTGTCAGATCCCCACCGAGGTGCTCTCTCCCCCTCCTCAGCAGGACAGGGGGAGAAAATAAGATGAAAAAGCTTGTGGGTCGAGATAAAGACAAGGGCATCATTTACCAATTACCGTCACGAGCAAGAAACAGACAACACGGGGAAAATTAATTTAATTTATTGCCAATTTAATAGAGTTGGAGGTGAGAAATAAAGACAAATCCTAAAACAACTTCTTTCCACCCACCCCCTTTCTTCCCAGGCTCAGCTTCACCCCTTCACTCCCAGCTCCTCTACCTCCTCCCCACAAGCAGCGCAGGGGGATGGGGAAGAGGGGCTGCGGTCAGCCCATAACAGCTCCTCTCTGTCGCTCCTTCCTCCTCACGCTTTTCCCTGCTCCAGCCTGGGGCCTTCCCATGGGCTGCAGTCCTTCAGGATAAACCTGCTCCAGCATGGGCTCTCCATGGGCCACAGTTCCTTCAGGGCATGTCCACCTGCTGTGGTGTGAGGCTCTCCAAGGGCTGCAGTGTGGATATCTGCTCCAGCGTGGTCCTCTCCATGGGCTGCAGGAGATACCTGCTCCACCGTGGCCTCTCCAGGGGCTACAGAGAAATACTGCTCCACCAGGATCTCTCCAGGGTCACAGGGGAATCTCTGCTTGGGACCAGCTGTGTCTGGCATGGGGCAGTCCCAGCCTCTCCTCACAGAGGCCATCCCTGCAGCTCCCACCCCCACCTCCCCCCGCCTGGACACCTGCACCCAGTGCACAGTTAAACATTTTTCTGTTTCAAAGTAAGTTGTAACCAATGGCTGCAAAATTTTAGAGTTATTTTGTGCAGTAGCTGGAGTGCTGTGGCTGGAAAATTCCTTCTCAGGGATCAACAGGATGATGCTGGAATCAGTGCATGCCTTCCCAAGAAGCTCACATGATGCTGGAATCAGTGCATGCCTTCCCATCATAAGAAGCTCATGTGCCAAGACCAGACACAGGAGGCTTCTGCAACTACACTTGGAAGGGAGATAGAAATAATTTAAGCATTGGAACTAAAAGCTCCTTATATATTCATAAACATTTAGCCAATGAACTTTACACAGGGCCCAGCATTCTGCGTTATACTCTCACAAGCTCAAATTTACACTTACTAAATCTACAGATGACTTACTGCTCTTTAAACAATTCATGCGAAAAGCAGTACATAAACCATGAACAACAAAATGCTATCTCAAAAAAAGCCAATTTATCTCTTGCATGGCAAATTACCAACATACGATTGGCAATCTCATTGAGAAACTATGAGAATTTACTTCCAGATTAGCTTTAAACAATTTCCCAAAGGAGGAATTTGTGGAGAAACAGAAGATGAGAGAAACTATGGCTGGGGAAACCTGCTATATCACTGGGAATTTCTTGTTCTTAATTACTAGTTAAATAAAGCCCACCTTCCCAGAAGGACCACAATTCCACATGACCAAATTGGAACTGGAGTTAGTATCTCAAAAGCATTTGTAATACAAGGAGACTAAGGTGTTCTGTGACCAATATACTTAAAAGGTTGTCTCACACCTTTTAGGTACTTGTGATCTCTGGGATTTAAAGAATATTTCAGTGGTCTTTTTACAGGATCCTAAAGACAAGATTGAGAACTATATGTAAACATTTTGTTGTAAAGAAATCTTTTTCATTCACATCCAAACAAATAGGGTGCTGGAAAAAAATGACGCACCAGAAAATATCAATAGAAGTAATGTAAAAGAGGACAAGGTTTCTGTGTACAAATATTTGAAAGACACCTGGGTCTAGAACACTTAACAGATTCTGAGGGAAAAAAAGGTCCAGCTAAGAGTAATGAAAATTAGTAGAGAATTGTTTAGGGCAAATACCAGAAAAGTCTTTTTAATAGTAGGATTTGTCATCATTAATCATTTCTATGGCACAATAATTTTGCATATGTCTGCGTTTATGTATTTCTACGTACCTAAAGCAAGATCAGGAAATGGTAAACAGTGACAGGATTAGTATGGACAGGGTGCAGTTGTGGAAAAAAAAAATCAAATTAAATCTATGGCTGTATTGTGCTGCGGAATGTTTTCAGTAGCAAGAGTGCCCAGTGCAGGATATGAATATTTCTTCGTTGACCTTGTATTTGTATTTGTGCAGTACTGCAGTGCTGTGATCACCTACATGCAAGACAGATGAATTCAAATCAGAACAGGTGCAGAGAGGGGATATTAGGATGAAAAAGGAGTAGGGACTCTATTTCACATGAGGAAATTTGAAGAGCTTGTTCTGCTTAACAAAATTTGAGAGTGAATGTTATTGTTCTCAGTTAATACGTCACAGAATAAAACTTGTTTATTTATTTAGTTAGTTAGTTATTATTTTATTTATTTTAGGCAAAGAACAAGTCTAAGAAGCAAAAGAACTCAAGGACACAAATAGTTCACAAATAAATTTAGCTGGAAGTTCAAGGTAGTTTTAAAATATTCATATAATGAATCACAGACAACAATTCAAGTTGGAAGGGCCCATGGGAGGACATCTAGTCCAAGCTCCAGGGTCAGCTCTGAGGTCAGACCAGGTTGCTCAGGGCTTTAAGCAGTCAGGTCTTAAAATTCTCCAAGGTTGGAAATTGTATAACCTCTCTGGGCAACCAGCTCCAGCTCTTGACTGTCCCCAGTGTGAAAAAGTATTTCCTTCTATCCTACCTCTTCCCTTGTTCCAACTTATGCCTGTTGTCTCTCATCCTCCCATAACGCCCCACTGTGAAGTGGATGGCTCTGTCTTCTTGATAACCCCCTCGCAGGTGCTGGCAGGCTGCTGGCAGGCCTCCCCTGAAGCCATCTCTTCTCCAGGCTGAGCATGACTTGACCCCTCAGACTCCCCCTCACAGGGCAAGTGCTCTGGCCCTCAGCCAGCTTGGGGGCCTTCTGATGAACTTGCTCCGTGTCTTTCCTGCACTGGGTTGCCCGTGGCTTGTCCCTGCAGCCAGGGCACACTGCTGGCTCATGCTGTTTGTGTCTGCAAAGATCCCCAGGTCCCTTCCCACAGAGCTGCTCCCAGCCAGGCATGGACCAGCCTGTGTCCTTGCACTGGTGCTTCCTGCCTAGGGACAGCACTTGGCATGTGTCTGCAATGAATTTCATGAGGTTCCCGCTGGTCTATTCCTCCAGTCTGGCTAGGTCCCTCTGGCTGGCAGCCTTGACTCAACTGTGTGTCCCTGCAATCTGGCATCATCTGCAAACTTGAGACCAGAACTGCCTGTCACCTCCTCCAGGTCACTGATAAAGGTGTCAAATGGGACAGGGCCCAGCACAGACCCTTGCATTACTCCATTCGTTACTGGTCTACGGGCAGTGTAGGTCCCATTAACCACCACCTTCTGGACCCGACTATCCAACCAGCTTTTTTGCAATCAAATTGTCCAACCATTCAGACCTCAATGTCCTGACTTTGAAAGAAGACTATTGTGGCAGATGGTGTGGAAAGCCTTGCTCGGATCCACTGCTCTCCTCTCAACCACAGATGCAGTCCTTTGAACACAGAAGGAAATCAGGTGGGCCAGGTATGATTCACCTTCAGTAAAGTCAGGCTTACTGTTCCCAAGAACCTTTCTCTTCCTGCACGTGCACAGAAATGGGTTCCAGGAGGACTTGCTCCCTAATTTCCCCAGGGACCAAAGTGAAACTAACCAGCCTGTAGGTCCCTAAGTTGTCCTTTGGGCTTTTCTTGAAGATGGATGTGACATTTGCTGCTCTCTGCAGTTGCCAGGGTCCTCCCTGATCTCTACGAGTTCTTGCATATAATCCCCGACTCAGTCTTTACCCACTGATCATCGTTCCTGTCCTCCCTGAGCCCTTTCACTAAGCACCGAAGGCTGTG